GTGTATAGAAATGCAAGGGATTTCTGTGTGTAAATTTTACTAATCCACTTTCTGAATTCTAGGTATTGAATATAAATTGAGTCATATAACATGTTTCCTTTTGTGACTCGCTTATTTCACTTGGCGTGTTTTCAAGGTTCCATGTTCCAGCATCCATGTTGTAACGTGTATCTCTGCTTCATTTTTTTTCAAGACTGAGTGTTATTATACCTTATGGATATACCAGTGTTTTTATCCATCCAGTACTTGATGGATATTTGGATTGTTTCCACTCTGGCTATTATGAATAATATTGGCATGAACACTTGTTATGTAGGTTTTGTGTGGACATAGATTTTCATTTCTCTTGAATATACATATATATCTGGGAGTGGAATGGCTGGTTTGTATGGTAATTCTATGTTTAACCATTTAAGAAATTGCCAGACTTTTTTTCTGAAGTGATTTTACCATTTTATTTTGCTATCAGTGTGTCTGAAGGTTCCTATGTCTCCATATCTTCACCAACACTTGTTATTTGTCTTTTTCTTTATAGCCATACTCTGATGCCGTACTGTGAAGCAGTGTGTTGTTATGTTTTGATTGGCATTTCCCTAATCATTAGTGATGTCGAGCATCTTTCTGCCTGTTTATTGACCAATTACATATATTTGTGGAGAATTATTTATTCTTATTCTGTGCTCATTTTTTAATTGGTTTATCTTTTTAGTATTGAGTTGTAAGGGTTATTTATATATTCTAGATAGAAATCTCATGGGTTGCAAATGTTTTTTCCCATTCTGTGGGTTTTCTTTTCACTTTCTTAATGCATCCAGTGAGGTACAGAACATGTAAAATTTTGATTAGTCCAGTTTAAATATATTCTTTATTTTACTTGTGCTTTTTGTGTCATATTTAGAAAGGTTTTTCTTCTGTAGTGTATGTGTTCTTGAACTTCTTATAAGTGGAATCAAGTAGTATGTGTTCTTTTGCATCAGGGTTCTTTCACCTGGTGGGTTCCATACTGTTCATGGGGTTGCACAGAGTTGGGAAGGACTGAGCAAATAACATTGTACTTCACTTCTTTCACCTAATGTTTATAAGATTAATGTTATGTATCAGCAGCAGTTTGTATCTGAGTGATGTTGCAGTGAATAAATGTATCACAATTTGATCATTTATTTTTCTGGATATAGGGGTTGTTTCTGGACTTTGCCTATTATGAATAAAGCTTTTCTGAACTTTAAATTGTAAGTCTTTTTGTGGACATAGGTTTTCATTTTTCTTGCTGTCATATAAAAATGTATTTAACTTTATAAAGAATTGCCAAATAGTCTTCATAGTGGTTGAAGTCTTACATACTACTGACATGGATATGTTAAAGTCACAATTGGTCTCATCTTTGGCAGCACTTAGTATGGCCAGTCTTTAAAATTGTAGCCATGCTGATTGTGTACATAGTGTGGTATTAAATTGGGTTTCTTTGGCAATTAAGGATGTTGAATGTTTTTCAGTTGCTTGTTAGCTACTTGACTGTTTTGCTTTGGAAGGTGGCAGTTTAAATCTCTTACTCATTTTTAAAAATGTGTTGTTTGCCTTCTTAATTATCAGTTGTAAGTGTTCTTCATGTATTCTGAATACCAGTCTTTTGTCAGATGCATATGTTGAAGATTTCTTTTTTCTTAGTTTGTAGCTTACATTTTCATTTTCTTAAAAGTAGAGCTTTTAAAATTTGAAATGCAATTTAGTATTTTTTAATCAATTTTTTTCTTTTATGGTTAATGTTTGTGTCCCATTAACAAATTTTGTCTATTCCAAGGTTGTGAAGACTTTTTCCTGTTTTCTTCAAGGTGTTTTATAGTTTTAGTTTTTATATTCAAGTCTATTGTCCATTTTGAGTCTTTTTTTTTTTTTGTATTATGTGAATTAAGGCAGGGACAATATCTTTAAATAATGTAAAGTCTGTACTTGGAATATTTCATTTGTAATGTTTTTCAAAGTTTTGTATATTTGTATTACTTATTGCACTGTCCTCTGAAGATGAACTGCTTAACTCTTCTCTCTAATCCACCCATGAATTCATTTGGTTTTCCTGCTTATACTAAAAGTTGTAATGTGGAGATCTCTGAGACCTTTCTGACTGTTAAAAAACAAACAAAAAAACCTTTCTTTTTAGGTACTTTTTCATCTATGCTTTCATTATATCTCAGATTTCTGTTTAGCTTGGGAAACACCAGTATTTTCTTTTTAACTGCATGTCTTTATTAATGGTAGTGGTGCAGTTTAATTATTTGGCAAATAGTGAAGTCGCTCAGTTGCTTCCGACTCTTTGCGACTCCATGGACTGTAGCCCACCAGGCTTCTCCATCCATGGAATTTTCTAGGCAAGAGTACTGGAGCGGGTTGCCATTTCCTTCTCCAGGGGATCTTCCTGACCCAGGGATCAAACCTGGGTCTCTGCATTGCAGGCAGACGCTTTACCGTCTGAGCCACCAGGGAATCCCCAAAAAGTGAAAGTCGCTCAGTCGTGTCAGACTCTTTGTGACCCCATGGACTATACAGTCCATGGAATACTCCAGGCCAGAATACTGGAGTGGGTAGCCTTTCCCTTCTCCAGGGGATCTTCCCAATCCAGGGATTGAACCCACATCTCCTGCATTGCAGGAGGATTCTTTACCAGGTGAGCCACAAGGGAAGTTAGCAAGCATTCAGTGAATAATTAAGTGAAGTGAACTTAGAGTCAGGTTATTTCTTTAAAGTTTGTTGCTGTATTCCATTTATAAATCTTGAGGTTTAGAATCATACATAGAATTACTTGTATACATACACTTATTTTTTCATAAGTTTTATTGTGGACTTATTAAAATAATATCTATGGAAAAAACAGTATTTAAAGCAAAACATTATCATTAATTAGTTTTTTTCTGATGAAGACTATTTATAGCAAATAATTGACCCTGAATTTAGCTGTTTTGTAAATTTTTCTATTTCTAGCAATATTTGGGACATCTTATTTCATTTACTGTTGCGATGAAAAAAATGTATTAAATTATGCCATGAATAAGGAAAGGTTTTTAGTTTATATTATTGTGTTATTGAGTTTGATCATCTCGTACTTGAAGTTTTTTTTTATTATGGGGATTTGAGTTTTATTTCAGTTCTCTCAGTTTTCAGTGTATTTTGTTTTGAGCTAAATACAAAGACAATATAAAGGGATATAAAGATGAGTAAGATATAAATGTGGCTTGCAAAGGATTTTTTATAATCTGCTAAATATAATTTGACTCATGTTTATTAGTTTTTATACATCCTAAATTAATATTGGGAGCATTTTTTTGTCTAAGCAGATGATTTTCTGAAGGAGTTACTGGAAGTAAATAGTATCCATGTTAAATAGATGTTTTAGGACCCTTATTTGCATGGTATGTAATTTACATCTTAATAATGATAGAGCCACATTTTCCAGCCTTTTTTTTTTTTTTTGGATAGTCTGTGTACATGTGAAAGAAGTAATGGATTTGATGTTGTATTGAGTTATGGAATGGATCTCTGAAATTATCTTAACCTGTCTTTCTACAGATAAGGCAGAGGCCTTAAACAGGGTCTTAACAGTGAAGAGGTCTCAATTTTAAAGTGCTAGTCCAGTGATAAATGACAACTGTTAGCTGGCCTGAGTTTCTGGGAGATAGTAAGGTTTATGGAGAGTTAGTGGATTAAGGTCCTTTCTCATTTAAAGGGAGAGGCTTCTACCCTGCTATACCCTGTTATTTCTGGAATATAGGCTAGTTTTGCCCTTTTTGTTTTTTAAGAGATCCAGAATTGTAAATACAAATGTATGTTGGAAAAGGAAATGACAACCCACTCTGATATTTTTGCCTGGAAAATCCCATGCCTAGAGAAGCCTGGTGAGCTGCAGTCCATCAGGTTGCAAAGAGTTGGACATGACTGAGCAACTAACACACACAGACACACGTATGTGTATATAAACAAATGAAATCTTCTAATTTTAGTTTTAGTAATTGTTAATTTTTTTGACACAAACATTGCATGAGCTAGGCAAAACACTCTTTGTTTGCAGATCAGTTATGCCTGGGTGAAGCAAAATTGAAAGAGACAAAAGATTTGATTAATTTATGTGTCTGCTTTTTTTAGTCCTAGACACATTTTAAACATGTTAGGATTAGTTCTTCGATAAAATTAGTTAATACCTCTTCCAAGTACAGTTTCTTTTTCCTTGAAACCTTCCCAATGAATTTCTCCCCAGAAGATTTCTTCTACTTTGAGTTTTTAGTGGAGATAAAGAGAAACTATGATGGGACTAATAGCACTAAAATATTTAACATAATTTACTTTATCATATTTTAAAATTGCTATTCTTAGTAGAAAAAAATACAGCAATTAATTTTGTAGATGCCAACCAAATATTTTAAAAATTATGTATATTTTAAAACTATGGCTAAATTGCTGTAGTGAAGCCCTTGAGTATCATCTATCCTGTTGTTGCAGGAAGGGGGACCCCTTCCAGGGCCTGAGAGTGGGCTCTTGTCTAACACTCGGAAATGGATTGTCCAAGGAGGTACATATGCTGACAAAGCAAGATATTTTATTGGGAATGGGCACCTGGGCAGAGAACAGGAGGGTAAGGGAACCCAGGAGGACTTCTCTGCCATGTGGCTTGCTGTCAGGTTTTGCGTTGATGAGATTAGTTTCTGGCCAATCATTCTCAAAATGGAGTCCTTCCTGGTGGCACACCCATTGCTCAGGCAAGAGGGATGTCAGCGAGAAGGATCCTGGGAGGCGGTAGGACAGGTGGTGTCTCCTTTTGGCCTTTCCTGAACTCTTCCATTTGGTGGTGGCTTAATAGTTCCACGTTCCTTACTGAGACCTCCTGTGGTAAAATACTCATGCAAATGGTTATTATAGTGCCTGGGCTGGGTGGGTGGTTTTAGTCAGTGTGTTTCCTCTAATATTGTCATCTAGTGTCACTGTGAGATCTTGAACAATTTTTAATTATATTTTAGATTGTTAGAGACAGATAGTAAGTCTTTAAGATCTGTAAATGGATCAAGAAGGAACAGTGGCTCCTCCCTGGTATCAAGTTCATCAGCCTCTAGCAACCTCAGTCACCTTGAAGAAGACTCTTGGATTCTTTGGGGAAGAATTGTTAATGAATGGGAAGATGTGCGCAAAAAGAAGGAGAAACAAGTTAAGGTATTCATATTCTTTGCTGAAGTTTTCCTCTTATCCCGTCAGGCAGAGATTGATAGAGGATTAAAAAAAAAATTGGATTCTAGTACTTCCCAGGTGCTATGCTGAAGAGGTCTACTTTATATGTTTTCTTCAATTGTGCCAATAGAAGTTTTGATTTGCAGCTATCAGCTATTATTAAAGTCTCCTAACTGTAGAAATATAGATTCAGAAATGAAGTGGTGACATCCAAAATCCTTCAGTTATCATTATTTTATTTTATTTTTTTTTAAAGCATAAAACAGCCCTTTGAAAGATCATGGTTACCATGCTGTCTGTCATTCACAGCTCTGCAGGTTATCAGTTCCTTAATACATTGAGAGGCTATACTCTGAGTGAAATGACAGGAATTTATCCATAGCATTGTTGTTCCTCTGATCAGAGCACAATACATCAGTATCTTAGCCAAATCTTAGCTTTGGTTAAAAAGTTCCCTAGTTTTATTATAAAAGTAGCTTTGTGAATTAAAATTTGAGAAAGTTTAAAAAAAAAATTTTTTTTTTAAAGTCATCCACTCCACTCCAATCCCTGTGGCTTTCAAGGTAGGAAGCTTAAATAAGTCATTTAAACATTTTTATTTTTATTTTTTAGGAACTTGTTCGTAAAGGGATACCCCATCATTTTAGAGCGATAGTTTGGCAACTTTTGTGCAGTGCACAAAGTATGCCAATTAAGGATCAGTATTCAGAACTCCTGAAAATGACCTCACCTTGTGAAAAATTGATCCGAAGGGACATTGCTAGAACTTATCCTGAACACAATTTTTTTAAGGAAAAAGATAGCCTTGGACAGGAAGTTTTGTTTAATGTAATGAAGGTAAGTTCTATTTATTCATTTTTTGGGGGGAAGGAGCTGAAATAAATTCTTATGTTGAAATTAAACATTTCTCATAATGAAGTACAAACTCATCCTAGTAATCAGTTGCTTCGGCAATCAATTTGATTTTAGCATAATCTTGACTTTAATTCTGATGTTTAGGTTGCTGTCTGATTTGCAGAACTCTTGGAAAATTCCTTACATTGCTTGATATTAGTTGAAGTCAAATAACCCATAAATGACCATACATACTATAGAGAGGGACTTCCCTCGTAGCTCATTCGGTAAAGAATCTGCCTGCAATGCAGGAGACCTGGGTTTGATTCCTGGGTCAGGAAGATCCCCTGGAGAAGGAAATGGCAATCCACTCCAGTATGCTTGCCTGGCAAATCCCATGGACAGAGGAGCCTGGTGGGCTACAGTCCACGGGGTCGCAAGAGTCGGACACGACTTAGCGACTAAACCACCACCACCACCACCATAGAGAAGACCCTTCATGAAAATGAGTAATTCACCTTCTATGAGTTTCACAGTCTGGGAGCAAATTTCCTGTTTGCCATGGCCGGCATCACTAAGAGCCCCTTACCCTTGAAGGTGTGTGGCATTGTAATTTTTTCTTCAATATTGTCTTTTCCCTTTGCATAATTCCTTTCCCTTTTAGCCACCACTTTGAAATTATGATTTCTTGTTAAACCATATCAATTTTGTCAATGCTTTACCATCATCCTACTCAAATTTTACTCTATCAGCTACATATTTTTAATGATTTTTAAGCTTTGTCACTTCCCTGAGTACAAATTCCTTTATTTTCTTGTCCTTAACAACTGACAGTTCCTAATTCGTAAATCATCAAAAGAAAATTTTATGTAGTAAATCATATAGGGTAGGATAGCATCTACAGCACAGCAAACAAGAGCTTCTCTAGAAAATAAATGGTCTTTAACCCACCTTCTCCCTATTTTTAGGTTTTTAGAGAAGGAAGGTATGCTGTATCATGATAAAGTATTTTGAACAATATTTTTTACTTTTTAGGCATATTCTTTAGTGGATCGTGAGGTTGGTTACTGTCAAGGAAGTGCTTTTATAGTTGGATTGCTGCTTATGCAGGTAAGTTATATAAGTATTAAAGTTGGAGAATTTAAAAATCATCCTTGTTTTTAGTAAGTGGATATTGGGTATTTTTCTCCTAAGCATAATCTAAATAAGAATATTTAGTTTGCACTTTAAAATATTAAACATGTTGAAAATAACACATAGTAAATATCCTGCCACTAAGTCAAATTTTGTCTTATCTACATTTGGACCATAATTTTCTACTAAATCCTGTATCTACTTTTAAATCTGTATTTAAATGTCTGTAGTTAATGAGGAATAATCTTTTCCCAGCTAAGGAGGACTGATTAAAGTGTTGGTATAGAAATCTTACTTTATGGGACTTCTCTGGTGGGTTTGATCCCTGATTGAACTAAGAATCCCCCATATTGTGTGGCAAGGCTACATGCACACACATATCATAGTTATGATATACAATGTCTTTGGAAATTTATACAGTACTTTTATTTGTCACAGAACTGAGGGCTTGTTGCACCTCTCTTATAGGCTCAAAAATAGAGGTACTCAGTCACTTCTACTGCCTTAGGGATAAACATGTTTCCATTGGCAGTGGCTTATATTGGGTGGGGTGTTTTTGGAAGTCAAGGACAGGACAGTAAGTCATAGCTTTGACAGGAAATAGCATGTGGTGTTATCTGTTTAGCCTTATTGAAAAATTTTTTTAAAAGTCTATCTTACTTTTGTATTAAGTGTCAGACTGAAATATAACTTGAAAAGAAACCTTGGAGATAACTTTTGAGTCATATAGGCTTGTTTTTGCAACTCAGTTCTACACTGAGTTCTGTAATCTTGGGCCAGATTATTTTAACATCCTTATCTCAGCCTTAATTAGATACTGCTTCTACTTCTAGATTCACTATGAGGGTTATATAAGATACTGTATGTAATAGCCTAGCATAGTGTTTGACACATGGTAGACATGCAATAAAAGTTCAGTGACTTGCCCAAGATCACATATCTTGAGTGTAGGAATCAGAAACTGTGTTTCTCCACTGTTACTGTTGTTCAGTTGCTCAGTAGTGTCGAACTCTTTGTGACTACATGGTCTGCGGCATGCCAGGCTTCCCTGTCCTTCACCAACTTCCAGAGCTTACTCAAACTCATGTCCATTGAGTTGGTGATGCCATCCAACCATCTCATCCTCTCTTGTCCCCTTCTTCTCCTGCCCTCAATCTTTCCCAGCATCAGGGTCTTTTCAAATGAGTCAGCTCTTTGCTACTTTGCCTCCCACATATTAGCTTAGAAATAGAACTCAGAGTCTGATAAAATTTTTTTGCAAGTTAGCTTATTTACTACGTGGTGTTAAAATAGTTAAGAGTACTGGGTATATGTTGTGTACATCTTAGTACTGCTCTAAAATTGGGTAGATAGTGTCCCCACTAGACCTTTGCAAAGGACATGATTCTTTTTTTTTTTTTTTTGACATGATTCTTATTAACTCAGTGTTATAGAGAAAATGTGTATCAGAGAGAAGGGGCAGTTAGTGGCAATGAGGCATTGAGGTCCAAGGAGGGACCTGTGCATCTCTGCCCCTGCCTTCTTCCAGTGCTGAGGGAGAGAAAACACCCTCCTCAGGAGACAGCCAGATTTTGGTTTTGAAGTATCCTTAGGGGGGATTCAGGTTTCACTTAGAGAAAGACAGTGAAAGAACATTTGATGAAGAGATTGAGGGTATAGATAGGATATTTTATTGATGGCAGGTTATTAGTTCCAGAAAGTGCTGCGTAAAGGGTTTAGGGCATATTGGAAATGGGGTAGATTATGGGAGCACTGGAACCACATGGGATGAGTGTTTAGGATATTGGGTTTCTTGTAGTGACTGACATAAAAATCAGTGGGGCTATCAAGCTTGATAGGATTAATGAAGATATGTGTTCGGAGGAAGGAAGAAAATGAGTTTTGCCAAGAATAGTGCTTGGCTCCTGTTCACGGCTGTGTTAAGTCCAGGGAAAATGTATTGTTAATAAATATAGTCTTCAGTAAGAAAAGTGCCTAGAGACCTTTTGAGGTTTCCTCTTTTGAAACACACTGGTATAATGTGAGTGAATGAACATTAGAACATTTTATCTTAATACACAAGGAATTCCCTGGCAGTCCAGTGGTTAGGACTGTATGCTTCATTACAGGGGCACGGGTTCCACCCCTGTTTGGAGAACTCAGATCTCTGCATGACAAAAAAAAAAGACCACACAGTTATTTGTATGTTATGTGTCTAAATTTAATATCTGTGTAACTCTACAGAGCTTTTTTTTTTTCCTACGGAGCTTTTATATTCAGTATCTTAGTTGATATAATTATCTAGTGAGTTACACACAAAATGTGAAATTGAAACCTTTAAAACCCTAATCACAGATTTTTTTTGGAAAACTTATTTTACTAGTTCTTTTAACACTTAAACACTATTTCTTTGCTCGGAACCCTTGAAAAGCCTCCCATCTCACTTAAGATAAAAGTTCAGGTCATTACAGTGGCTTCTAAAATCTTATGATTTGTTTTGTTGTATTTCTCCTCCATAACCATAACTTCATTTGTAGCATCACTCCTAATTTAGTAGTCCCCTGTTTATTGTTCCTTGAGCATGCCACTCGTAATTCCATTTCAAGACATTTGTATTATTCTCTCAGCACTGTACTTCCCTCAGTTGTTCCCTTACTTTCAGTATTCTGCTCAAATGTTACCTTATCAAGAGACTTTCTCTGACCTACCTATATATAAATAGAATGTATCTCCCCAGGATTCCCTGTTGCTTTACTTTGTCTTATTTCCATAGCACTTTGCACCATCTGACATATATTAATTGATTTATTCCATATATTGCCTGGAGAATCCCATAGACAGAGGAGCCTGTCAGGCTGCAGGAGGGGTCACAAGAGTAGGGCACAATTTAGGGATTAACCACCATGTATTGTCTTTTCTCCCCCTACTGGAAGGTTCAAACTCCCTGAAAGTAGAGAATGTTTATTTTGTTCACTGGTATATGAGAGAGAGAGAGAGAGAGAAGTATCTGGCTTTAAATGAATATTTGTAGATTGAATTGATGAGTTAGGCAGGTGAGGCAGCTGGTCTCAGTTGTATGATTCACCTAATTTCTCATTGATTGTGATAGAATGGGAAATTAGAATCTTCTGGTTCCTAGTCCATTGCTCTTAATATTACATCGCTTGGCACTCAAAACACTGGTTATAGTTGGATGAGTACTTAGTTTAAATGTATTTAACTTACTTGTTTATCACAGAACATTAATAGATGTTGCTTTTTTTTCTCCTAATGCAGATGCCAGAAGAAGAAGCTTTCTGTGTATTTGTTAAATTAATGCAAGATTATAGACTTCGTGAACTTTTTAAACCAAGTATGGCAGAATTAGGCCTTTGTATGTACCAGTTTGAATGCATGATACAGGTAAAAGTGTGGCATTAACCAAAAACATACTGCCTTTATATTTTTTGTCATCTTGGTTTGAGTGACAACTATGCAAATTTAATGTTAAAAGCATTAAAGCAACTGAAAAAAAAAATCATTGTTTTGATTACATGATTATTTGTTGGTCTGTTAACCCACGATTTAGACTTTACTTCCCAGTTAGGTGCTGGCCCAGGTAGATCACAGTCTGGAACTTTACTACAATTTTTATGTTCAAATCTTAAACATTTGTGCCAAATATATCATAACCTAGGTTCATGAGTTTCTTTATTATGCCGTATTGATCACATTTTTTTATGTAGATTATGCTCTCCTACAGAAGCCCATGACATTTGGATGCTGATATCAATTCATTTCCTTTGAGATGGTCTCTCATCTCTTTCAATCCTCTCCCCTGCCTTTCCCATCTTTCATCTCGCTTTTTCTACTAGCCTGTAATCTTAAAAAAAATTACTGTTTCTATCCTTTTATATTGTTAATTTAAAATTCATAGTCTTATTGACTGTGTGAGGGTGAAGAGAAGAGAAAGAGGAATCAAAACCAAGTAAAAAATACCTTTAAAGTATTTCACCTTTCTGGATTTAATTTTTATATTTGTATAAGTAGATTTGCTATTTTTCCCTGTGATGTAGTGGTATAAATAGTCTTCATTTACTTAAATTTCAATTATGTAAGCAAAATTTAAGAATATTGGTTAACGATTCAGCTGGCCTAAGAGCCATTTTCCTGAGAAAAGTCTCCATTTCCCTGGCAGCTTTACCCACAGGAATTTTTAAATCCTCTACCTTTTCTATGTGTGATGAGAAGAAAGGGATATGCCAAATGTTTTTGCATTTTAAAGAGAAAGACAAAGTAGGTCTTGATGATTCTTATTTGTCTTAAATAGTAAGCTTATTTTTAATCAACCTTAAACTCCTTTGGTTTATTTTCAGTTAATGTGTCATTTATGTTTTGAATTACGAGAGTTGCTGAAGTATCTGTATTTCAGGTGAGAAGGGAGCTTAGGATAGGCAATCGGGTATATAGCACCTGAAAGTATTTCAACATAACATCTTTCCTTAAAAAAAATTTTTTTTGAAATATTATAGTCTATAGAAAAGTAAAGAAAATTATAAAAATTTTACTAATTTATTGTAATATTTCTTATTAAGAAATCATCAGAAAGTTCCAACTCTACATCCTTTTCCCCTTCTTCCTTTTCCAAATATTAACCACTATCTAGAGTGTCCATTTCGGCCTCTTATTTCTTCCATATGATTCCAGAATTTTTATGTTTATGTTTGGTAAAGAATAATTTAGTATGTGTACAATGGTTTGGCTTAAAATACTGAGTTTTACAATGTTTTAGATAATTAATTCCTTTCTTCTATTTAGGAGCACCTTCCAGAGCTCTTTGTGCATTTTCAGTCTCAGAGTTTTCATACCTCAATGTATGCATCATCATGGTTTCTGACTATCTTCCTTACAACTTTTCCACTACCAATTGCAACAAGGATATTTGATATCTTTATGTCTGAGGTAAGTTAGTGGGCAACTTACAGACTGAGCAAAGGAATCATTGGGTTAATGAGAGCTAGGCAATGAGGAGAACAATAAAGGAGACTCATGTGTTCCATGCTAAACTCATTTAATCCTATAACATCCATACGAGTACTGTTCCTCTCCTCATTTGATGGATGACAGGTGAAGAAGCTGATACTTAGAGAAAGATTAAGTAGCTTGTGTATGGACACATAACACATAAGTGGTATAGTAACCAAGATTCAAACACAGGCAGTCAAAATCAGGAACCCATACTCTTAATCAAACCTGAATCACCTCCTTTTTGATTTAGTGAGAATTAGTGAGGGTTAAAATTTCCTTTACAGTTAACATTGTTGCAATGCATCTGTTACCCAAAGAGGAAGAAGTAGTGAGTATAATTTTCTTCTATCCCATGAACATCTTACAGGTAGTCCTTTTAATTATCACTGACATGTAGTGGTGATCCTTTGTCTTCTGTATTTTGACTGAGAAGGTAGGAAGGTAAGGATAGGTGATCAGTGATAGAGAGCACCTAAGAATATTATTAATTGTTATTAATTACATCTTGGGAAGATCAATTTATATAACATAGCTAAATTCGATTAGTCTGGAGCCAGGAAACTGTGATTCGTGAACTGATCTATCCTGGTTTGCCTGCCAGGTCTGTCCTTTCTGTAAATAAAGTTTCTTGGAACATAGCCATGACTGTTTGTTGATGTGATGTCTGTGTCTGCTTTTCAGCTGCAATTCCAGGGTTGATTATTTGTGACACTTATAGGTAGGGCTCCTAAAGCCTAAAACATTTGTTTTCCAACTCTTTACAGAAAATGTGTGCTCTCCTCTAGTTTAGGTACCTAAATGTTTACCTTAGTATTCTTTTGAGTGATTAGTTGTTGTGGAAGAGTAAGATAAATTTGACTTTATAATTTGATTCTTCAGGGTTTAGAAATAGTGTTTCGGATAGGATTAGCGCTTCTTCAGATGAATCAGGCAGAACTGATGCAACTTGACATGGAAGGGATGTTACAGGTAAGCCAGGTCATGATTTCTTAAATGTCTTTAGATTTTACTATTTATTAATTAATAATAAATGGCACTAAGTAATTCTTATGTTTTTCTTCTGTTGTATCTTAGCACTTTCAGAAGGTCATTCCACATCAGTTTGATGGTGGTCCAGACAAATTAATCCAGGCAGCTTACCAAGTCAAGTATAACTCTAAAAAAATGAAAAAGTAAGTTAAGTATTCTGTATTTTGTTTTTTTAGTTATAGGGGTTTGTCAGTGCATTTTAGGAGATTAAATAGAAGCAGCAAAACATTCTAGTGGTGAGTGCAATTTTCCTCATCATTTTATAGAACTGTAAAGTTTTATTTGGGGGTATTAGTTTTAATATGACATAAATTTAATATTGGAATTTCATAGTGCTCTAATGGTGCATGGGACTATTGTGTATTACTGTCTTTTTCTTTTTGATTGCACTTTTAAAACTCCTTTCCCATTCCACAATGACTAGAATTAGGAACCTGATAAGTGTATATATGTGAGTTTGTGCTATTGTTTTAGAAACCGCTTCTATGTTGTGGTCCCTAACATTCTTTTCCTCTCAGTTGATCCCAGTCTATCACTTAAGTTCAAGATTAGCATAATCAGCAGGATAGTCATAAGGTGTGCATTAAGTTAAAATTTTGTTTATTATGTATTACTTTCTAGTGAAACTTTCTTCTGTATATATTTCATTAAAGTTCAAGATAATCAGTCTTGTCTCATAAAGTTTGATTTCTGAAATATGATAAAAGTGTTAAGAACAATCTCTTATTCTTCTAGCTTTCAGCAGTTAAATAAATCTTAACCTGAGGTCATAATTAGCATTCCTGACACTTGTTAATGTGCTATGAGATGCTTTAAAATGATAGCAGTAGTAGCCTCACAGTTCTTAATATCTTTGCTGCTGCACAATGAAATTACATTAACATGTACAATGTACTCCCATAGAGATTCCTACTCCAAAAATATATTAGAATATGAGTTTGTTATTAAAATTAGTTAACTAATTTGTGAAAACAGATAATTTATCATGTTCAACTAGTATTGTTAATAAATTGCCTGTGAAATTACTAATAACCAATTACATCACAGCATCATTTGAGACGTTTTAGACTGAAAAGCTGTTCGGTTCTATAATTGATAAAACCTTAGGAACCATCTCAGTGTTCTGCCTCTTGACCTTAATTTAAAAGTACTTTATTGCTAAAAAATGCTAATCATTTGATCCTTTAGTAAGTTGTAATCTTTTACAGTAGTAACATCAAAGATCCCTGATCACAGGTCACCATAACAAATATGCTTCTTTTTTTTCCTCTTTTTTTCTTTTGTTGGTACTTGCCTTCCTTTTCCATTGCAATATCTACTTCTTACTGCCTAGTAGCTGTTTATGTATATTCTGGAGAGTAATGTTTTATCAGTATTAAAGGATGAGTTTCATCTGTTTCTAATAAGTACCACTCTCAGAATATAATGAACTTAGACTTGGACCTGGCTCTGAAAAAGGTTCAAACTTCCTGTACGTAGGATGATGGCAGAGCAGGGAAGTAAATAGCTATTACAATGACAGTCTCAGTTCAGTTCAGTCTCTCAGTCATGTCCGACTCTTTGCGATCCTATGGACTGTAGCATGCCAGGCTTCCCTGTCCATCACCAACTCCCAGAGCTTGCTCAAACTCATGTCCAGTCTCATAACTCTCGTCCTCTGTTGTCCCTGTCTCCTCCTGCCTTTAGTCTTTCCCAGCATCAGGACCTTTATCAATACAACAGGTTATTAATTTGACATCTAAGAGATGCATAGCCTATGTGTCTTTTTTTTTTATTTATTTTTATTAGTTGGAGGCTAATTACTTCACAACATTGCAGTGGGTTTTGTCATACATTGACATGAATCAGCCATGGAGTTACATGTATTTCCCATCCCGATCCCCCCTCCCACCTCCCTCTCCATTCCATCCCTCTGGGTC